TCTCTCTCTCTCTCTCTCTCTCTCTCCTTCTCTCTCTCTAGGAGTTACCATGGCAAACTTGTGATAACCCTTGGAACACTGATCGCTGCTTTTCCAACTACAGTCTGATGGACACCACCAACCTGACCAGTGCCGTCACTGAGTTCTGGGAGTGAGTCACTACAATAGTGATATTAATATTTTTGTCAAATATTTAATGAAGTTGTAAGTTAAAATCCAGTTGCACTGATCGAGTAGTTATTTTCCTGTCTGAGCTGGTTAAAGCACTTTTTTTTCTGATTCCATTGAGAATATTTTTTGTTTTGTTTTGTTATCATGTACTTTACCTCAACACTTTCATCCATGGAACACAAAAAAATAATATATTTAGAAAAATGTTCACACTGCTCTTTCTACATTATGAATAACTCCTCACCTCTTCCATACTTCATATAGCTCATAACTCGTTTGAACGTATGCAAATTTGTTAAACTGTTTCAACAAAAGCACATGTTAAATGACAGTCTAACTAAATATTTCTTTACTCTATAGGAGGAACATGCATCAGTTAACAAAAGGTTTGGAGGAACCAGGGGAATTGCGCTGGCCGTTGGTTGGAACATTAGCATTGTCTTGGATTCTTGTCTATTTCTCAATCTGGAAAGGAGTGGAGTGGACGGGGAAGGTGTGACTGCCGATAATCTTTCCATTTTTCATACGACACCCCAGAATTGTTTCTAAAAACAAACTTTAATCGCTTTTCATCCCCTTTGCATACTTGTCTTCTCATTTGCCTTCTCTTTCATCTCATGTATTCTCAAACTTACTTTTGGAATCTTTTTGTTCTTCCATTTCCGGACAATCTCAGAGGAAAAATATATTACTCAGAGATTGCTTTATCATAGCTCAGTAGACTTCTTGGAGTTTTAAAGTATGTTTTATGTAACTGTGTTGTTTCATTAAAAAAAAAAAAAAAATAATAATAATCTATAGAAGAAAAAAACATTGTTTTGAAAGAATTTGATTCTGACTTTTATTTGCAGAGTTTGTGCTGGATCTCTTCAGAAACACTACTGGATGTAACTGTTTTTTTTTTTAGTTTAATCTCATTACTTTTTAGATATATAAAATAAAAAAGCTTTTATTATGTATTTTATGCATTATTTTTCCAAGTTCATTTGGCAACATAAGTGGTGCATAAATTGCACAGTTTAAGCACTTTGATGAGTAGCCAACGGACATGTCTTCACATTAAATTGTAAGCTATTTTATTTATTTATTTATTTTCCCTGGCGAGAAAGGAAAACTGCTCTCTTTATCTGCTCTTTCTCTGAGGATAATTGAATTTTAATGTGATCCTTGCACCGGGCAAGAACAAATACATTTTCTGGCGGTCTATAACCTTGATGGACATCACTAATTAAGGGCAATCATTATCCTACACAGCAAAACTGTGTTCCTACCGATCATCAAACAGAAGCCAGTGAAAGCATTACACCAACAATTTAATAATGTTGTCCTCTATACCTACTTTAAAATTATTTACTCTATGACACTCTCTCTCTTTCTCTTCATTTATCTCCTGTCCTCATTAGGTGGTGTATTTCTCCGCCACGTATCCTTACTTCATGCTCTTTATTCTGTTTTTCCGTGGAGTCACTCTCCCTGGAGCGTTAGACGGCGTCCTCTTCTATGTCACCCCAGACTTCAACAAGCTATTGAAATCTGAGGTAAAATTAAACATACTGAAATTAATTTGATTTTATTTTAAATGAAATTTGATGTATTAAATGATGAATTCTTGAATCTGAGATCTTCAAACATCTTTATATATTTTAAGAACATTCACAAAAACCTGATGAGAGGCATGTTTGCATTTTTTTAGGGAGTAACTAAACTGTAGTAGCAATGCTGTTAAGTCATAGATACTCATAGAACATTAATTCAAAGCTATACACGCTTTTCATTAAGGATAGACGCTGAATTGTACAATTGTATATATCGATGCCAATAAAGCTTAATCCCTTTTTATGAATGTACACTCTTGTAAAAAAGAAGTACACTTTAGCATACTTTTAAAAAGTCGACAGAGAATGTAATTTTACTGAACAACTATGGAAATATTTTACAGACATTTCCCTGTTCTCTAACTTCTGGTACTATCAATATTTCTCATTTCAAATGTCAAATTTCTTCTCAGGTGTGGTTGGATGCTGCCACTCAGATCTTCTTCTCTTATGGTCTGGGTTTAGGTTCTCTCATTGCTCTGGGCAGCTACAACTCCTACAACAATAATGTCTACAGGTAAGAACTACTAGTCTCTGTCCAAATGTACAGAAATTGTGCATTTATGATGATTACATTTCATACAATCTGATGTGAAAAACTGTCTTTAACACAGTGCCTTTTCTATGAAATTCTGTTCAGTTTACACTGTACCTTTGTTGTCTTGTGATTCAGTTGACTTCATTATTGCTCCTTCTGTAGAGATTCTATCATTGTGTGCTGTATTAACTCCTGCACCAGTATGTTTGCTGGGATCGTCATATTTTCCATTGTGGGCTTCATGTCATACATCACAAAGAGACCCATTGAAGAACTGGCTGCTTCAGGTCATTATGTCTCTCAGACATTATCAAATTTCATTGTTGCAAAAAGATGTACACTTTTGTATACGTTTACACTTTTTAATACACTTTGTTTTAACTGAATGTAATACTTCCTGTCACGTAATTGCATGTTAATGAAATGAAAATATTACAGTTTAAATTTATATTAAATGCAATTATACAAACAGTAGACTTAAAGTATATCTGTATATATAATTTCATAACAACTTTTTTGTCTTTGAAATATGGTTAAAGTGTACTGCTGAATGTATGCCATGCATTTAAATGTTGTAATGATGTAGCAATTTAGTACATTTTAAATGTAATATTGAATAAAACATTAGTTAAAATTACATGCAAAGTACTTCACATATGCTTCAGTATGTTAGTCAGCAAATCAAAATAAGTGTATTACTTTAAAAAATGAAAAAATATAAGTAATATAATATAAGTAAAAAAATATTACTTAAAATTTAAAATGCGCTTTAATTAAAGTAATATGAGTAATATTATAGTGATATGGTGAAAGTGGACTCATCTTGACACTTATGGTGTTTGTTGGTTTGTGGTTCAATATCAGGTCCTGGTTTGGCATTTCTGGCCTATCCGCAAGCTGTCACACAGCTTCCCATGTCTTCACTCTGGGCTATTCTCTTCTTCTCAATGCTCATGATGCTGGGATTGGACAGTCAGGTATTTTACACATGCATACATATGATAAAGGTGACTGTCGAGAAAGAAAAAAAAAATTGTTATAATCTATTTGAAGAGTCTAAGTTATTGTTTTTAGTAGTTGACATGATGCCTCAGAGACCATAGAGTTATTGATAGAGCTTGTATTGAACCCACAATACTCCTCTAATGGTGCTACATTTAGCAGCATTTCACCATTATTCTTCTATAGATTTCAGAGCTTAATGATTTTTAATGATTAAAACTAAACAAGTTATAAATTATTCATGTGGTGTTACTTTAGTTTTGTTGTGTTAGGTAGGTGAAAGTAATGCCAAAGATCACAAGAGAACTCAGCACATTAAAATAAGTTCAGTCAGGACCATTCTGTTTGATTGAGATTATTGTAGAGGTCCTGTAGAGGTATTTTGGAAGCAGGCTTTGCTCTGAAGGGTTCAGATTCTGAGCTGTCCACAAGCAAACCTCACTGAGGTTTGAAACCCCTGAAACCTAATGCAATTACCAGAATTTTTTGTAAGCAACAGATATAAAATTCCATGCAGAAGTGATACAGGTCCGTAAATAAGACTGGACAATATCGAGCTGCCTCCATAAGGAGGAGTTGGGGATGGAGGGGGGCAATCGCATGTCTGTGCGACAGACTAAGGCAAGTACGGATGAACTTATATATCTTATTTAATTGTAGTGGGAGGAGTTACAATCAACTGAGCTTCAGCTGATGCTGGCTGTCATGCCGTGGTCTGCCTGAACTACGTTTGAGCACCATTCGTCACTTAAACTACATTCTCTTCAAAAAGACCACACAGCTATTTTAGCTAACATGATAGAGAACATGTGGAAACTTTAAACATGTATGAGCAATTATTTTTCATGTTTAGTTTGTATTAAAAATCAGTAACTCCATGAATATCATAAAGTACTCCAATTGTAACACCAGTTCCCTTTCAGTCGGTCACTCTCGACGTCATGTCGGATGACCGACGAATTGGGATCTCGCTTAGAGGGA